ATTATTAATGGACTTTTTGGATTGTTGGGTTTAACACTAGGACTAACAGTTTATGGATACACAGAAAACCAACAATGAAATCCTTTTCCTGTTTATGTTTCAAATCTGAGTCCACCTCCTTTTTCGAATCTCTATTATGATAAAGCTTCTGCTATTTTATTACTGATAAAGAGTCCTAATCCAAATCCAGCTGTATTTTTTGATATTTTTTATATTGAAGGTACTCCTTATTATAATAATAATGTCAATCGATCTTATTCTGATTTTGTCATTCCTATACCAGTATCTTCAACATGAAAAACTACACATGGTTAATTCTTATTAGAAAAAGAGGTTTCAATTTTTAGAGATATTGATCCTTAAAGTGTAAACTTTTATGCATTTGATACTAAATTAATCAAAATTTGTTTAATTCTATTTCGATCAGATAGAATCTATGTTATTTTAGAATTGAATTCAATTTTGATTTCTAGATTCTTTTTGGATATTTAATCTTTAAAAAGTGAAATAACTTCCAATATTAATTCTTAGATATTAAAAACAGCCACTTATAAACTAAATGTCTTTCCTAATATACTATTATAATCCATCATATCTAAAACCATACTATGCATAACTTTCCCATTAACTAATATAGGTTTAAAGAATTATTCTTTGATATTTGGTGGTACTTCTTCATGACATTCAGCTACCTATGCTAATGCTAATATATAATTTAAAGATGTATTGTATTCATGGCTAAAACTCTTAAATAATTATTGCATAGTAGTTTGGGTAAATACTTTCTTAATTTATAGATTGTATTCTTCCATATTTTGTAACAATATTGTAAAAGACTTTGGTTCAACATAAAAAACTTTTAAATGAAGATCATTATATCCTCTTATGCTAAAAACTTCAAATTCATATGGGAATTTTTGTAATTACTAGAGTTAGTCCAGTAATTCATTTAATGAATAATGTTGTTATACTTCTTTTAAATCTTGAATGGATGGAAATTTACAACTGAATTACTCTTGCATTAATAATTTGGTCTACCTGTCTACTGATAATAAAGGACTATTTAAGAGTTCTTAAATATTTATGTTTTTCAATAAATCTTATGCTCTTGTATTACTCATCATCATATTTAATTTACCATCTAATTTGATTATACTAACAAGACTATTTTATGATTCCCATATTCGATCTGTTTCTGTTATAGTTTTTATATTTATAGTGTCTTCAAGAGCCCCTTCATTTCTTTTTATTTGTTGATCATATTATTTTTACAGATAGAATGTAAACAATAATAATATAAATGTTATTATTATTGGTTAACCTTTATTCACATTATATAACATCTTCCAAATACCCATTATGATGAGATGAAGAGATTTAAAAATGATAAAATAAGATTTCTTTGTTTCATCCTTATTTAAATGGTCGTATAATAGTGGTGGAAGCAAAAATAAAAATAGTTTTTCATTATTCATTTCTTAGTTAATAACTATATTAAATTTAATGGTTACTTGAAATATTGAGGGATAATAGAAGAATTGGAATCAGGTAGCTTATAGATTGTCTAGATTTTTGTAGATATTGGAATATGAGGAAACATAGAACAATCCCCAACTCGATACCATGATAAAATAGCTGTCTCTATCATATAAATATTGTACTCAATTCCAAGCATCATTTCGTAGATTGTATTGCACAACCAAATGCTACTGTATAAAATAGCCAATATCATATTTAATATAATTTTTATACTTATATTATAAATGGACTTATAGTTTAGTTATGTTTAAACTATACAATCAGAACTTATATATTTGAATGTACTCTTGTTCATATAAAGGTCTAATTTATTATACATTTTATTAAATCTTACACTCAGGTCCATTACTTAACAGAAAATTAATTTATTAATCCTATGAATGCTTCAATCAATACAAATACATATATATCAATATATATATAAAATTAAGTATATTTTTGTTATTCTCAATTTAAATATTTTTTCAGTTTAATTCTATTTCCCATCTGTTTATATTATTAAAATGAGGATAACAAACTATTTATATCTTATTATTAATAAAATTGGATAATTTCATTCTTGAGTATTTAACTGATTTGATATTCTGAAGTTTTTGTACAAAATTAACATTATAAATTAATAGTTGTAAAATATGATCAAATTATATAATGCTTACAAATATTATGTTATTATTATTAAGTGATAAATAACACTACAATTATAATTGAATGAAACGTAATGTTAAGTTTTTTTTTTAATTTAATTGAAAAATCTATTCAATTATTGTTTTCTTTAAATTTAAGGTAAGATCAACAACAAAATATCAGATATTCTTTTGAAATATTTGTATCTAAAGTAAATTTCATATAAATTGGATTGATATATGATTTACAATTTGCTAATTGTTTTGTGTATCAATTTAATCTACTTTAAAATATGAGTTTATTCTTCTTAACATATTGGTAATTTTGATTCAATTGTAAATACAAATCAAAGACTAATTTATCTTCTTAGAAGTACATTAATAATTTCAGTCATATATATTTAAAATTAATGGAATTAAAGAAGCAAAAGTTCTGTTTAATTTAGATATAAAAATTAATATGAAGAAGAGAATGAATAATAATTCTAATTCTAATAAATTCAAATATATTAAATAATTTATGGAATTGAAAATTTTAATCTATATATTTTGTTATTATAAATACTCATTTTACTAAATAACCAACTTAAAATTTTTCAAGAATATAATGAAAGTTAATCCAGGGATGATGTTAAAGAAACAGAAAAGTAGCATCCTTTCCAACTCCTCTTAGAATCTATTCTCTACCACCAGGATGTTTTTCAATATAATACGACACATCATAGATATTATCCTATAAAACAATCCAAGCATCTTTCTATGTATTGTGTTATTAAACCTTAAAAATAATTGAGAATTATACTTCTTCTATGGTGTAAGATTTTAATTGAGTTTGAAGTTTATTTAATTACTAGATGTTTGTAGATTATATTTTGGTGATTGGATAAGAATTGGCACTTCTTTCTATAGTTTATTTTTGATTGATCATGTTGTTATTATCTTTAATGTTTTAGCTGGTCTCTCGGAATTATTGATTTAGATTAATTATTGTTTACATCTGATAGTTTACACTTTCTAATTTACGCTTATTCTTAAATTTTTAGATTATAAGTTGATTTGGATTTATCTAATAGAGGTTCTAAAATTCCCATTCTTATATTTCATTAATGGGAGGTATGTTATTAGTTGTAGATATATTGATGAAGATATGTTGTAATTAAATAAAGAGTGTAAGTGATTATTGAATTGGTGTAGAATTGGTATCAGTGAATGTTAAGTGATTCAATTTATTTTTTGAGGAAATGTCATTTAAAACAAAGAAGATAACTTCATTTATGATATTTTGATCGAGATCTTACCAAACTAATGTATATTGACGATTGGCAAAGTAAAAATTGATTTGGTGATTGATATTCATTATATTATAAAATGAATGAAAATGTTATACTTAATGAATATAGAAGGGAATCATTAAGTTCAACTAATTAAACAGTGGATACACCAACATATGAAGAAATGGATTGGGATACATTTCAATAATTACTAATATCAGATAGAGTTGAAGTAAAGAGGAAGAAAATAATAATAAATAGGGAAGTAATAATTTCATAAGTGTTGAAATTAAGTGGAATTGATTCTGTGATTCAATTTAAGGGTGGATGTATGGTATTTGAAGGGATAACGATAGATTCTATTTTTGATGAAGAATGTAGTATTTAAGGATTTCAAATAGAAGTTTAGTAAATAACTCCATGCATTAAAGTGCATTGTAGAAACTTAATGATTATGGCATGTAGTGTTGAGAACTTCTAAAATAGAGGGATGTTTATTCAATTTGATAACTCCTTAATCATTAATGACACTAAATTAAATGGATTTTAAGTATTAATTGGTTGTGAGGGTAATGCAACAAAATTAAGTATTAATCATTCAATAATAATACAGAATGATTGTTAATAATAATAATCAATTTTGATTCATGCAAATAACCTTGGAGAATTTGCTATGGAAATAATAAATTCAATAATAGAAGGTAGTTCAGTCATCATAAATAATAGTAAGAATGTAGAAATTAAAATTATAGATAATGAATTTAAAAATTAATAAACTTCTATATCTCTTGATAATATCTAGAATAAATCAATATTAATAGAAAAGAATGTTTTTTTTAGATCTATAGATTATGCAATTAAAATGAATAATATTGTAGTTGACAAATTATAATTATTTAAAAATACTATCACAAAATGTAGAATTGGAATATTTCTATAGAATGTGGTTGAAGTCTGTTAATTAGTTAAATAAATTAAACCAATCTCTCTTAAATAGAATATTATGTCTAGTATGGAATAAACTGCATTAATGATAAGAGAAGTAGTCTGTATGGAAATAGATGAAATCAATATCTAAGACAATACAATTGGAATGGATATTGATATCAGTACTACCAAAATAGCAGATTAAAATACTATCAATCCTTTTATTATTACTATTATAAATTCTACTATTAGTTCTAATCGAATACATGGTATTTTCCTTAATAGTAATTTATCATATTATCCAATTAATCTCCAGATTTCTAAAAGTACATTCTATTCTAATTGCAATGCCTTGAATCTTTCACATTAAGGAGAATTAAATGATAAAAGTAAGTCTGAAAATATTAAATAGGATTCAAGGTCAATATTAATAGTTGCCAATTCCAAGATAATCACTTTTCTAATTCTAATTAAAATTATGAACTCAATATCACCAATACTAACATTGTAGTAATAAAATCTAATAATTTGATAGCATAATAAACAACTCCTAATTAAATCAAGGTCAAAAGCCTGTCAAATCATGTGAATATATTTCAACTAATTATATATATTTATTAACTAAAATATTCATTCATTAATGTTAAAAACTCCTAGTCTTAAATCATTTTCTAATCCAAGTGAAAGAAATCAATCAGAACAATACATTCAATGTTATACTAATAAAATCATTAGACAAGTGTAATAACTCAATTCTTCATACTATGAAGAAGACCAATTTGATTAATGCTAAAATACTAATCATATACAATAATTTGAAGATTATATGTAAAATCTTGTTGAAATCATATCAAATCCACCAAATTCATAATATCTAAGCAAATACTATGTACTTTCTACAGAAAATGAAACTATTACATTTATTAGTGAAACACATCCAGAAACTCTTATGGATTATATTAAATTAAGACATTAGAATAATGCTCCAATGAATGAAGATGAAATTGTATAATTGGCATATGCAATACTTAATGGTTTATCAAATATTAACATATTATACTTGAGTCCCTCTTACATAATCAAAAAATGGAAGATCATCAATTATATGGAGTAAATGGTTCATCAAAATCAAAGATAATTTTTGGAATCAGAAGACAAATTATATTTGGCACCTGAATTATATAAGTATTTAGATATTGAACTAAATGATTGTGATGATTTCAATAAACATTTAAGTTAAGAAATTAATGCACCTAAAGCATCTGTTTATTCATTAGGAATCATATTATTATAATGCATTTATTTTGAATTCAAAAAGGATAATACTAATAATTATTAAGATATTCTTAAAAACTCTAAATATAGTTGGTCTTTAAGAGATCTCATCCAATAGATGTTAAGAGAAGAAGATGAAAGAAGTTCAATTAAAGAATTACTTTCAAATCCTTTATTTTATGAACATAAATAAATTGATATTTAACCTAAATAATAAAATCAAATGTCTTTAGCAGTATTTTTCCAATTTGTAAAGAACAAATTTTTCAACTTAGATTGGGCAGATCAATTTTTTTCTATGGAAGAAATAATTTATATCAGTGATCTTAAGGAAGGTATTTATCCTATTGGTGAATTGAAATCTGAAATAAATAGTCAAATTACTTAAATCATTTAAAATTGTCCCAATAATTGCACTCTAGAAGAATTGATTGCTACTCTTACAAAAATTGCAAATCCTTAATAATAAGAAGAAAATTAAGTTATATAACCTAAGAAATAACAATTTTTATTTAGAAAATGGTTTAAAAAACAAGAATAAAAAAGTGAAGATATGTAAGAATAAGTACTTGCTCCTTAAGAGCCAACTTATATGGCATAAGTATTATTATTGAAATTGATTTCCTAAGCATCTGAAAAAGCATTTTAAACTTTTATTTCTAAGGTTATTCATTTTATGGGAGGTTCTGGTTTAATTTGGTAAAACATAAGAAAAGCATTTTGGCCAAGAGCTCTAGGGTTTGAATCCTTAGAAGCCTAAAGATAAATTGTATAATTAACACTTGAATTATGTGAATATTTGAATGCTTCAAAAGAGAAGGATGTAATTTAACTTGAAAAAGATTTAAATAGATAAAAATATAGTAAAAGAACTTAAGATGCAATAAGAATTACAATAAGAGGATTTATAAATTAATCTGTTTCTAATTGTTATATATAAGGAATGGATTCTATTTCTTATATTCTCTTAGAAGCTTTTAATTATGATTCTGAACTTAGTACAATATGTTTAAATGAGATTTACAAGAAAAGAATTGTAAATTTACCTCCTGAAGAAGAATAAGTAGAAATAAGTGAATATTTTGGATAAAAATTATAAGAGAAGATATTACTATATAATTGGACACTCTAATATTTTGATCCAGGTTTAAGTAATCATCTGAAAGAAACTGATTTTAAGTGTGAAACTCATATTGTTTCATGGTTTAGTACTTTTTATGCAAGGGAATTCAACTTGGAGAATGTGATGAAAATATATGATTATTTCTTAATTTCAGATGAATCATTTGAAATTTTATTAGCATGTTAAATTATGTTAGAACTCAAATCAACTTTTGAAATTAAAGATAGTGAAGGAATGCTTAGTTGTCTTAAGAATCTGTAGAATAATATTTAATTAGATAATTGTTTATAAAATTCTCTTAGATTTTCAACTTAATTACATAAAACATTTTTCATTCTCACACATTAGGATGAAGAAATTTGCAATTAAATGAAAGAAGAAAATGAATATTTATAAGAAAGACCTTGGGAACATCCATTAACATTTAAATAATTATAAGAGTAATTAACATTTTCTATCTCAATTCATGATTTTTAATAATTATTAAGAGAATAAAAATCATCCTTTAATGTTTTATCTTTAGATATGAGAAGTGCTAAGGATTATGAATAGGCATGTATATCTGGTTCCTTATTTGCATATTATGATAAAAAGAAAATTAATAATATTTAATTATTAAACTATTTTGAACTTAGAGGACTGGTTGAAGAATAAAATATCTATTATATAGTTGTAATATGTGATTCAGAAAAATAAAATGTAAAAGAAATTATGGATTATTTACTTAAATAACGAATTAAACGTCTTGTACTTTTAAAGGGAGGAATTTAAGCTGCCTTACTAGATGCTTAAGATATAATAAAGGTTAAATAGAAGGCAGTTTTACCTCCATGGATCAAATTATAAATTGATGAATTAAAGAAAAAAAACATCTAATCAAAAGATTGATTGATAATATTATTATTATAAATTGAGATCACTATATTAATTCTATATATTTTCAACTTTTTGTAAAAAATATTACATCATTATTCTTAAACAGACTTTCAAATAATATATAATAATTTTAAAGTATTTCTGCTTATGAAAATTTAAATCAGATTTATGTTATAACTATTTATATAGATATACATAGTAAATAACATTTTTATGATATTACAAGATGTATATTCTTTAATAAGCCAGTGAACATCATAGATTATAAAAAATACGTATATAATTTTAATAATGATATTGCTAATTTTCGCCAATGTTTCATCTAGCATATTAGAATTTTGGGAATGCGAATAAATTATTGAATATGTCTTTTTGAGCATATCTATATGTATTGATGCAATTCTAATTGCTTTAACTTTGAGAAACCAATATTAATATTTAATCAGATTGTTGCTAATAATCTAAGCATCATTAATATTTTCAATATTTAAAAATCCCAAGCTTTTAGCTATTACTGCGATATACCAATGTATAATGAGATAATTTATAAAATCATAGAGTAATATATTTAATAACCTTGAATTTTCAAGTATTACTTTGATAATAATTAGGTTATTTTATTTTAATAGGTGTATTAAGTACTAAATTGGAAGTATTAGATATCATACGTACATCGATTTCAGCATTTTTCTTTATTGGATTTTAAGTTTAAGTTTTCTTTAATGAAAATCCAAAAAAAATAGTTGAGAAACAAAAAGAACAACTATCAATAAAAATGGAAACTGAATAAATTATATCTTAGCAATAATAAACTTAACCATAGTAAATTTAAAGATAAGTAAGGAATGCAGAAATAATTCTTGATGATTTCTTAGCAATAATTTATTCTAATTCAAAAATGAATGATATTCTAAATCAATTGAATTATGATGATCCTAATAAATTATTATAAGAAATTAGTATAATAAATATTGATACTAATTCTGAAAAGAAATTAGGAAAATGGAGAGAAGAATCCTTATTATCATTATTAAAAAGAATAATAAATAAAAGATCAGAAATTTATGTATAAGTATTGGATTATAATCATTCAGAATTATAAAAATACTTAATTTCGATTCATTACAAAAATTAATTTGAAATTCAATTCATTTAGGTTAATGAAAGGGATACTTATATTAAAAAGAAATATCTCAGTTAAATTTTATTCTAGTTATTCAAAACATTTTCTCATGAATTTGGTACATTATTAAATTATCTCTTGGCATTATCTTAAGTAGCAATAGATCGATTTCCAAATTAAATAGGATTCTTCTAGCCAATTAAATCAACAGGATAAATAATGCATCATTTTGTGTAAGACATGGTTGATTATAGTGATATACTAAATAAGAAATTTTAATTACAATTTGCACTTGTCGATGTAGAAGCCTTACTTTAAGAAGTTATAGGATTCTATTAAAAGTAAATAGAAGAAAAGGGTCTAAATATAACATATTAAATTATATTAGAAGAGAAATAAAAATTCTTTGATGGACGAAGATGTAAATAAGTATTGAGTAATCTAATTGCAAATGCTTAGAAGTTTACTGTTTCAGGGGGAATAAAAATTAATGTAACTGAACAATCAGGATATACTATATTTTCAGTTGAAGATAGTGGTTTTGGAATGAGCTAAGAAACATTTAATAATTTAAATTAAGCTTTAGAAAATGAATTTAAATCAGAATAAAAGATTTCTTAACATACTGCTGGATTTGGCTTAGGTTGTTTTCTATCTCAATAAATTGCTTTAAAATTATCTAATTTATCAGTATTAGGAGGTGGAGGTCTAAAATATGTAAGATTAGAAAAAGGTATAAGAGTTTCTTTTCGAGTAAAGAATTAACCTTTTGAAATATTTTATACAAGTTGTGATATATCTTCTGCAAAATCTGGAATATTATTTAATGAAAATGGATATTTCGATTCTCGTTAATCAGTGATAGACTTACAACTTACAAATAAACATAAACCTATTGAAAATCATATATTATTAACAATGACTAAAAAATCAGGTTTATTATCAGCTTCATTTTCACCAAATTACATTATTGATTATGTAGAATAAGAATTAAAATAAGAAAATGAAATTATAGAAAGAATGAAATAATGTCCTCAAATTAGAAAAAGGGAAGGTTAAAAAAAATCACCTACTTTTGGTGCTTCTGTTGTTGACATAACAAGTGTCAAAACAATTAGAGAATAACCTCATATTTTAATTGTTGATGATGAAATGATTAATATTATTAGTTTGAAGATTTTACTTAATCAATTCAATATTAAATGCACTTTTGCTTTTAATGGATTAGAAGCATTAAATTAAATAAAAGAATGTATAATATATTTTATATATATTAAAGCTAATGAAAAATTCGATGTGATTTTTATGGATGTTAATATGCCTATTATGGATGGCTTTTAGGCTACAGAATAAATTCTAAAATTTGACAATGATAATATTATTGTTGCATGTACTGCCTTTAGTGATGTCGAAACTAAAACTAAGTGTTATTCTGTTGGAATGAAATATTACATTAATAAACCTGTTACAAAATTAGAACTCTAGAAGTTGTTGAATCACTTGAATTTAATTATATAATGATTAAACATAAAAAATAAGCCATTATTGGAATGTACATTCTACAACTCATTTATGCAACTTTAGAATGCACTAGAGCTCCCCTTTTGAATCTTATTTTGCTTCTAATTAGCTTAGCTATTAGTCTATTTTAAATAGTACTATTAACAAAATATAGTAACTTAAATATTTATGCTCAATTTGCAATCAATATCGTGAGTGTTTTTGCCAAACAAAATGATCAATTCATGGTGCTTTAATCACTTGTCGGATTCATACTTTTTATGTAAAATGACTAAAAAAGATGGCATATTAATATTCTTGCTTGCTCAAGTAGTATTGGAAATTATCATAGTCCATGTAACCCTAATCTGTATATATTCATAAAATAATGAAGTCCAATCTTATTTGATGAGTGTATTCACTGTTTTAATTGTCACTTATTTTTCTTGGGCTATCAAAGAGTAGAAACTATAAAAACAATCAAGTAAAGGTTCTTTACTTACTTCTCGGATGCCAAATACTATAAAATCACTTGTTCTATTGGAGGACATTAATTTTATATCATATAAAGCTATAGTACTTGAAAATTCAACAACCCTTGATGTAAGATCATTTACCAATGAACTCAAAGACATTTTAATTAAAGATGAAGTATCTGAAGACAATCTATTAGATCATATGAAAATACTTAAAGTAGATAAATAAACTCAAAGAAACTTGAATTAAAAAATTAAAGGAATTAGTCTACGTTAACTAATAAGCAAATGTTAAATTTTACAAAAGACAACAGATATATTAATAATTAAAACTAATTTTATATTATTAGAATATTATTAGATAAAATTGCATTTTGAAAGAGATGTAATTATATTAAAGTTTGAAGAAATAAAAGAATTTTCAAAATATATAAAGAAAAATTCATGTTATGCATTAATGAATAAATTATTTCAATCTTTTAGTCATGAATTTGGAACATTATTGAATTAAATTGCTTTAAATGCATAAAATGGATTGGCTTAATTTCCATCTATGAAAGAACAATTTGATTCTATTTATAATTGTGTAGTGATTATGAATAATATGGTAAAAGATTTAAAAGACTTTCATTAATTACGTAGTAAAACATTTTAATTAGAAATTGATGATGTGAATATTGATGAAATCTTTTCTGAACTCTAAACCTTATTTAAATAATAAGCATAATAAAAAAAGATTTCCCTATATTTAGTGAATAAAGTTACTGTAAATTTCAAATAAGATGAATAAAGAATTAAATAAATACTCTAAAATCTTATCTAAAATGCTATCAAATACACTAATTAAGATGGACATATATATGTTACTGCAGAAAAAGAAGATGACAAAAGAATCAAATTTTCTGTTTTAGATTCAGGTATAGGAATTTCAGAAAGTGTTGCCTCCAATATAGAATAAATGTTAGGAAATGATTTAATTTTAACTTCTAAACTTTCAGAGGGTGCAGCTGGATTAGGTTTAGGATTATTAAATTCAAATTACTTAATTAAACATTTATCATCTTTCAAATAAGCTCATAAAGAAAATTTAAAATTTAAATCAAAATTAGGAGATGGAACTAAGTTTTGGTTTTATATTTGGAAATATTAAGTATTAGAATCACCAACAAGTTAATTTGAATCAAAATCAATAAAAATGATAGATAAGAAAGTATTCCTACATTAGAAATCAAATCTTGCTCATCCTCTTTCCAGTATTGCATCTAATCCTAAAAGTTGTCCATCATAAATCAAAAGATTAAGTCCTAGTAAATCATTTTAGAGACCATAACCTTAAATATTCTTTCCATCAAATATCAAAGATGATAATATTATGATAATGGAAGAAGATGATAGAACAATTGCTGAGGATCCAAAACCTAATCATTTACCTGGATAAAGAGCAAGATTTCCCTCAATGAGTTCACCAGAATGTTAATTTGTTAAATTGTTATTAGTAGATGATGAACCAGCAAATTTATTCCCACTTAAAATTATGATTAAAATGCTTGGTTTTGAGAGTGATATAGCATAAAATGGATATTAAGCTATTTAATAAGTGGAATCAAGATTAAATTAAAAATGTTAATATCATTTAATATTGATGGATATTAATATGCCATAAATGGATGGATTTGAAACAACAAGATAAATCAAATATTTATAACCTTAAATTACTATAGTAGCTTGTTCAGCTTTTAGTGATATGCAGACAAAATATTAAGCACAATTATCTGGGATGGTTGATTACTTAGAAAAACCAATAAATAAAGAAAATTTATAGGAAATATTGGAAATGTATTTATGATCATTTTTATTTATGTAATTCCTTGCCTCTCTTGATAGCTTAATCAAATAATGCTTTCATTCCTGGCTCCTATTAAATCTTTAATGCTTCAAAATAGGATGCTGCTGCCTCTCCAAATTCATTCAATCCTTCATAAGCCTAACCTTCATAATAGTAGATCTTAACCCAATCTTTCTTAACATTTCTAGCCTATTTACAAATTGTTAAAATATCCTTATATTTTGATAATTTCAATTAAGCATTTGCTAAATTAGTGTAAATCTTCACAATTTCATCTCTATATTAATCAACAATCTATTTTGATTTCTCAATTATTTCAGTATATTTAATAATTGCTTCTTCATATTTTTCAGCTTATAATAATTTATTAGCTTCCACCTTTTCAACATTAATTTCATTATATAAATCCTTAACTTATGCATCTGTCAACTACACTAGAGAAGGTGGAATTTAAGGTTCTTTTCTCAAAGCAAATTCTCTATAATATTCAACACAATCCCATTTTTCATTTTATACTGCTAAGTCTAAAGGAGTTTACTTTTAATTTTCATAATTAATATCAGCACCATATTTAATCAATGTTTATGAAAATTTTAATAATCCTTTCTCTGCACATAAATGTAAAGCTGACCATCCATCTGGGTCTTTAATATTAACATCAATTTTGTCAGGAAATTCTTCAAATATTGTATTAAATAATTCTTGATTATTTTAGTCAATTAATAAATGTAATAAAGAAGGCATTCCATTTTAAACAATATTTAAGTCTGCTCCTTTCTTTATTAAATGGAGAGCACTCCAATTTTATTAATATGCCACTGCAAATGAAACTGGAGTTCCAAAATTGGACAATGAATTGATATTGGCTCCTGCTGAAAGTAATAATTCAATCATTGGAATAGCACCTTATTAAGCAGCTAAATGAAGAGCTGTAATTGTATTTCTAGTGTAATTCACATCAACATGATGGAAATCAATTAAATATTGTACAATAGATAAATGATTATGTTGAACAGCAATCATAAATGGATTATTCTTTTCATCATCCAACAAATTAACATCTGCTCCTTTTTTGACCAAAAATTTAAACACATCTAAGTCTCCTCTAGATGCACCAAAATGAATGGCCTTCTTACCTTTTCCCTCAGAAATTACATTTATAAATGTTCTAATGGGAACCTTCTCATTTTCATTACCCCTCTTGCGTTATTTTACATACAAGAGATACCTTTTAATAGTATCTATATCAGAAGTGCTGATTTATTTAAAATACTCTTCGATGAATTTCTTTTCCACTTCTATTTCTTTAATATCACTCATTAATAATTTATGAATTAAATTGTGTATTTTGGAAAAATTAAACTTTAACATCCATAAACTTCATCAAATAGTACTATATATTATATATAAAATTCACTCTAATTATTACCCAGAAAGCAAGATTACTGGATTTAATGATATATATAAATATTATCCCCAATACTGTGATTTAGGAATATATAATAAATATCAATACAAAAGATAGTAAAACTATATGTAATTTTGATCTACATTTAGGTGATTTCAAATAAACTAAGATTTAAAAAGTCTACATCAAAGATTTTATAAGAAATAAAAATATTAAAGAAGATAAATATAAGAAAAGTTATTAATATCCAATTTTTTAGGTTTTTAAAAGAAACTAAATAAGTTTAAATTTATTCCTAATAAATTTACAAATATAAGTAATTCTATTTCTTCAAGTAAATTTATAAATACAATAAAATATTACAATATTAATGATTGTAATTATAAAAACATAAATAATATATATAAAATAGTTATCAAAAATGTAGAATAAGTATTCTCAATTTTCAAATTTATTGGGATTTAAAAATTTAGAGAAATTGTAGATATGAGCATCTTAGAATTTATTATTATTTTCATTATGAGTAGAGTTAACAAATGAATTTTACCTCAAACTTATATTTTGATTAACAATTATATATTCAGGTGTTTATGTATAGATAGGTTCTTGTTAATCTTAAGAAATCTCTTCATCTTATTACTATTAAGCCATAGCTGCAACCTAACGAGCCTTTCTTATAAGTTTTATTTTTCTCATAAAAGAAACTTTAAGTTTTAATGAAATAGTATTTTTCATAAACTGACTTCCTCCCATATGAACATATTTATGTAATGCTGTTTTTGTATCCATAACTTAAGGTTATTAGTAATTACAATCGATTAAAGTTTTTGCTTTAATGAATTCTAAAATTGCATTTTATTATGTTAAAGGATTTGTTCTATCATAATCTGTTGGTAATTTTAAATACACATCTGAGTATCTATCTTTTTCAGTATATAGATTACTCTTTTTATCAAATAATTTACTGATTCTTGTTGCTGGAGTGATTAATTCTAAACAAGAGAATCCTAAACTAATAAAATTGATTGTCAATATAACTGAACCAGAACTAAAAGTATAATCCGCCCAAAATTAGCCAACTGCCAAAATAATAGGACTTAATTCAAATAAATTCATCATTTCTCTATTTAAATGAAAACTTTAAAAAGGAGGTTTTGAATTTCTTCTTAATAATAAATATTTTTATATCCAATAGTATATTAGTAATCCTGAACTGCAAAATAATAAAGATATTGGTAATAAAGGAGCAAAGAGTAAGGAAATCCATAGGGATAAACAAATATAAGAATAATGCTCATACAAAAGTACAGATGGTCCTTCAAATATTTTATTAGCTTCTATTTGATTAAGAGTATTATCAACTTTAAAGTAATATTACTGATATAATTTAAAAAGGTATAGTGGATCCAAATAAGCAAAAATAGGAACAAAGAATGAATTAACAATTAATAAAAAAAATGCATCTGAAATTACTCCTCCTTATCTAGAATATGCATATGTTGCTGCATAATTGTCAGGTTTATCATTTTCAAAATTGTATACTAAAATATTAATAACTTTAGTAAAGATTCCAGAATTAAAAAATTAAACTATTGCCAATTTAGTTGCAACTGAAACATCATGATGTGTTTTGGTAAAATGTTTTTCTGATTATCCTAGTAATTTGATAACATGATATATGATCTAATTTATAATTGTTATTATTAATGAAATAACCAGAGTTACAAATATCATTATAGCATCATCATAAGATGATAGGTTTTGACTTTATAAAATATTCAAACCTAAAAGAATAGTGAACGAAGCTCCTAAAATGAATATTGTTATAAAGAAATTCAATATTCTTTTTTATAATTAATACTAGAAATTAAATCCACAATTTTCCCAAAAGACATCATTTGGTTCAGGAGCTCTGCAAAATATTATAATTCGATTTTTAAAATAGAAACCTCTTTAATCTTATCGATTAATGAAATAATATTTGAATCGAATCCATAATTCTTCCCAATATGATAGTTTAGTTTAATCCAAAACTGATTGCAATTCTAATAATAGAATTTTTATTTACATTCTTTTGTTTAGAAAGTCACAAATGCAACTTAAGTTTAATGTGCATATTACTATTACTCCACTTCATTTTCAATTTTTGTTAATTTTTCATCAAGGAATACAATTCTTTGTTTCATATCATTTAGTTAATTGGTTTTTAAGGAACGTGGATATCGATGATATTACTTATAATAATTTTCTATTTTTTCTATTTTCTTTTCTAAAGACATTTTTTCTCTACTAAATTCAACAAATGATGTAATATCATATGCTATTATTATTTTAACTATTTCATATTACCCTTTATTGTCAAATTAATAACAAAAATCTAATAATGCATCCTTTAATTCTGCTTCATTATATTCATTTCTAGGTAAGTTTGTCAACATAGCAGTAAAATCTGAAGGAGAAACAAATTCTTAATCACAAATTCTTGCTGTATTTCTTTAAGATATTCTAATTCTAATCATAGCAAACTTAAACACTAATATACTACATAAAACTAGAATAGATTAGACAAATTTAGATGTCTCATCAAATTACTTGTTTGCAAATGACATTTATATTACTGATGTTTCTAAACAAATATCTTTAATTTTAACACATATAGTTTTGCATTCATTTGAGTGAGTCAATTTTGTAATTAAAATAAAATCAGTCGAATTTTATGGACAATTTGATTCACATAGTCCATTTAATGAAATTTAATAAAACTTATTGTCTTCTGCAATACAATCATGATTTTCTATATTATTTATTAAAGATGGTATTCCAAAAATTGTAAATAAAATAAAAACCATTAATGTCAATTATTGAGTCATCTCAAAAAATAGAGGTATACCTTGACCCAAAAATGCCAAATCTAATCTATTTTAACATAATTAAATTTCCCTCTATTATATATGTTATCCGCAACAAGGGCAATGATCTGATTTTTCCTCATTCTCTCCACACATGGAAGCTTTCTAATTAGAAATTGTGCTTACCTAATGAATTTTTGCCTAATTGATGCTGGCTGGTATGCGAAATGGATCGAATGTTAAAGAACTATCTGCATCAATCTTATTTTAATTCATATTTTAAACTCCTACTGATTTAATATTATTAATTATACATAATGCAATATTGGAAAACTCCAAAAAGTGTGATCAATCTCAAAATCTAGTTAAAATTAACATATCAATTGATCTTAAATTTACAATATATTAATAGAATCCAATATTTTATGGAATACCTTTAAAGAAATCTGAATTTTTGTCTTTTTTTAAAGATATATTGGATAAAAAATGATATTCTTCAGTTCTTTATAATAAGGAAATCTTTTGTTTTTTTATTTATTAATCACCAACTTCTCACAGATTTAAAGGGTGAGATAAGATAGAATAACCAGTAACAGCCATACTATTAATCTATAATAATAATAATAGTATTCTTGTTTTTAATGAACAGATTCATAACTTAATTAGTATATTTTACTTAAGAATAATTATTACATTCAAATGATTCTAAGCAATAACCTTATTAATAATACTTATATAATTTATATCCTTATTGAAACATTTATATATTTTTGATTTCATTATAATTGAAATAACTATTATGATCGATCAATTTGTCAAAGGGTTGTAAAAAATTGATAGATTTGGAGCTATATATAGACCACCGATTGTAGACATCCACCCTGAATATAAGTCGGTTCTAGGGGGAATTGCTACTTTTATTTTATATGGATCAAGTCTTGCATACTTTTTGTATCAAATTATCTAATGGCAATCCAATTAATTATTACCAAAAATTACTTATATTTAAACTTCTTATGACAAAAAATACTATAAAATTGATGAAATGATGTCCTCTTTTTACATTAGAAAAAATTAAAAAGTTGACTAAATTGATCCATTTGACCCAGGAAACATTATTTTACAGCCTATACTTTCTAAATTTGCTAATTAATAACTTGTAGATTCATATCCAATAGACTACAATTCAAAATCAGAGAGAAATGATATTCACGAAGTTATTTTGGAGAACATAGAATTGAATTTAAATCTAAACAATTCAAATGATGATCCATAAATTGAGTATTTATTATCATTTGGAACATGTATGGAATAATATTTAATGAATGGATAGAAATGTGCAAATTAAACTTTAGTAAATACTTATTTAAATCAAAAAAGTCATGCATTAATATTGAATCATTATGTAAAAGAATATAACTCAAAATAAAAACATATATAAAATGTAAAAAAACAATTCTTAGCAATTCTTACTAATAATACAACATTATATTTCTAAAATTAAATAAGATTATCTAAAACACAAGTTGATGATGGATTTTTATTTCCTTCTAATTCTAACAAAGAGTTTCCAATGGATACTATAATAATATCATAAAATACTAGTCCTGATAGCTTTTACAATATATTTGGAAGAGTAACCTACTTAGTTATGGCCTATAGTTTAAGTGAAGTAATATAAGAATAGTATATTGAATATCCTAAAATTTCTGAAGTTTTGGCTGATATAGGATCTATTGTTTCAATTATATTAGTATTATCATATTTATTCATTTTTTTGAATGAACATTAATTAGAGAAAGAATCAATTTAAAAGGTTATTTAAATGTATTATCCTGAATTTTGTAATATCAAATAATATCAAAATTGGTATGGCAAAATTGTTGAAGTTAAATACAATAATATTGTAATTAACAAAGAAGAATATATAATGTTTTACAATAAAGTTTAACGTGTTGCAGCAAAAAAGTTAAGTATAACAAATATTTTATTCACCTTGGCAAAATTGCAATTTTTAATATAGTCAAATTATAATATTGATAAAATCAAATTAGCTCATAAAGTTGGAATTAAACTCAAATAGTTTTCTAAAGGAAGTAGTATCCAATCACCAAAATTAATTTAAGAATAATTAAATTTATAGGAGATATCAAGAAATGAATCCAAAGATCATATTTAAATTCATGATATTGCAAATATCAATTTAAATGAATAAAATAATAACTAAAGTTCTATGGTACGGTAAGAAACTATCAATAAGGATAATTCAAAAAGCATATATTTAAATTTAAAAGATGATTTTCATCTCTTAAATGATGAGGATTTTTAGCTTTTTACTATTGATGAGCCAATAGCTATAGAAAATGACATCTAGAAATCAGATTTATACTTTGAGAATAATTATATTGATCTTTGAAATTCTTTATTTGAATATTTTTATAAAATTAATTATGAATACTATAACAAAAATAGCAAAAAATTTTTGTAAATAGATTAAAGAAAAAAAAGACGATTTCTTAAGCAGTGATAGATATATTTATGCAAGACAAAAACTTCAAATAATTAATGATCCAAAGTTTATTTAGAAAACTATCAAAATAGAACAATCTGCTAAAGCTAAAAATTATTATTTAACAAGTAAGCAATTTCCTGTTTTACTTTGTGCAGGAACATTATTTTTCTATCACTTATGGTAAGTAATGCCATATTCCAAAATATTTAAACATACCTCTATAAGTGAATATACAAAAGATCTTCTATACCCTATTTTATTGGCTCCTTCATCTCATCAAACAACATAATCCTTTTTGACATATGCACCTGCTTTAGTATGTGGATTATATTTAAATGGTTATTATATGAATTACAAAGGAATGATAGGATTGTACTTAATAAATAGTTTAGTATATATATTTAATTATTAAGCTAAGTAGTGCTGTAACGTATTACTATGAAAAATATCGAAATGAATAATTGGGAATTTCGATGATTTCACCAAAGACAACTGGAGCTTGCACATCTTTAGCATATATCTTTTCATTTGTTGTACTTTAACCTGACTATATGATAAAAGTACATATATTGCATAACCTTAGAAAAAACTTCCTTTTGCAATTTTTCCAATTTTATATTTAATATATGAAAGTGAAGAATTTTTAATGGATGATCAATAAAATTGTAGACCAGCTCATATTGCATCTATAATTTTAGGAGCTACATATGGGCTTATCTTTAAAAAATATTATAAATTTTTATGAAATTTTGAGTAGATATTTTTATTATCATTATAAATACATTTTACTCAAATCCAATTATGGAGATATCTTCTCATAAAAAGGAGAATGAAGCGACCCTAAAATTTAATGTCTTTAAAATATAATTTATGTTACCATAATCTCTATGATCTTAAATGAATAAGTGGATTGTAAATATCATTTCTAACAGTCATTTTTTCATTTAAAATTATATTATTATTTACTTTCCAGAATTACTGGGAGTGTATTGTTTTTTAATGTATAGAATAAAAATAAACAACCTAATTTGCTTAAATAAGCTGGTTTTGAATGAAATTCTATAAAGCATTAGAGAAAAATAATTTTTAGGGTTTTTTTTTGTTTTTATTTTTTTTCAGCCCATTTTTTTTTTTGATTTTTTTTTTAGGGCCTTTTTTTTGATTTGATATTGTTAGGTATCATTTTTTTACTTTTCTGAGGTTTTTAGGATCACTTTTAGTGATCCAATTATTCAAAGAAACAAAGTTTTATAAAATTTAAGATTTCAAGAAATAATTTTATGGGTTTATATTATAAAATAAGTTATTATAATAAATTATTTAAATTATTTTATTTTCTTTGTTAATATACCTTAATATTATTTCAACATCCAGAATAAGAGAATGTTAATGAGTAATTACTAATATAAATAATTTTTTAAGATAACTCTAAATATGTTATTTAAAAGTAAATTTATATTAAATCTCGACTCATCCTCTCATAAGCATTTATCAAAATTGTTAATATTTATATAATATATTTTAAGGACTAAAATGAATAAAAAGTATAAATATATGATATTTTAAATTAGAATGAATTTTAGAAAAAATAAGGCAATAATTCAAAATTACTTTAAAGTCATATTTTGAGAGAATAAACTATGTCAAATAAGTTTATGAGATGGAAATTAAATGGTATGAGTGGCAATATTGCAGAAAATATATTTAAAAAAGAATCCATTACAATTTTTTACAATCCAAGTTAGTATATATCAAATAAATTACAACTCATTTTTTTTGAATTTAAAACAAGCAAATTAACCCGCAATATACCTTTAATTTCTAAATTAACAATTAATTGTAGTTTATATATGTACTACTATCAAGTCTATTAAAATTATTTTTTTTTGTAATTTTAAATTTCTTAATATGCCCCGAAACTTAAAGTTTCTTTATAATCTTTTTAATGCTTTCAATATCTTGGTTAATTTTCTAATATGGCTTTCTTAGTGATCCTTCATATTTTTTGATTTTTTATCTTTTATGCTGATTCTTCAATTTAATTTACCAAGATTTCTTAAATCTTCAAAGTTCATTTAATAACAAAAGCAAACTTTTAATGTAATATTAATTAATCTCATTTTCTTTGTTGTTAAAGGCCCATAGTTTAAAAATTGTTTTTCTCAAACTAACCAAATCTAATTGTTATATTTTCTCTTTATATACAACACTCGAATGATTTTATACTTAAAATTGAAGAGAGATAATAAGGGATACTAAAAATATATTAGCTGGATTTTAAGCAAATCTATTTATAAAATTGTAAATTTTCTTTACATAAGGTTAAAAATCTTTACAAATAAGAAATTTAAATGAAAAATAAGAATAAAAATTTTTGCTGAATAATGTTCTATAAAATTGTAAAATGCTTAATTTACTTAAAATCTACACTATCCAATTAAGTGTCTGTTGTATTTTCTCTTAGATCGTTCCATCTATCAATTTGATTGGGAATAATGATTATCATAAAACTCAATCATGCTATTTAAAAACATATTAGCAAGCTTTGAGACAAATCATTGTTTAAGGAAGCATAAGGATCTATAATAGAACCTGCTATTGATCCTAACCTGCTAATAGATAACAAATCGTTTAATTCTTTTATTAATGTTACCAAAGGCAAGTGAATTATCATTCCATTTAAATAATTTTTTGACTTATTAACTTTCAGCTAGAAAACTGCTTGATTCAAATATCCTAAAAATATAAATCCCCATAAAAAGAAAATTCTTATAAATAACGGGTATTTTCATATTTCGAAATTATTGAAATGACATTAAATATTTAATCTCTGCTAAATATAAATCAAAATGTTTCTTAATCTGCTGTCCTAATAGGGCTGGATATTCACCAATTAGAAACTATACTAGTGGAAAAAAACTGAAAACCTCTAAAACACACTATCTTAAATTGGCCTGACGCAAAGATATCACCTTTTCGAATACTATATTTTAAATTTCAACAATTTTTGAAAACTATCTAAAAATGGTATATAATTACCTAATTTACTATAATTTTAAGAATGAAAAATTCAAATAATAAAATGTCTTTGAGAGTCTTGAATTAATCTTAATAAGA